ACATACTTGTACATCATTTGTATATCATTTGTACATCAATTATTTTTGCAAAACTAATAGAATTTTTTGAATAATTAATATTTGTATTAATATGTAATAATGATATTTAAAATAATGTAAAATGTAATCATTTAACATGATTATGTATAGTCAAATGATTCGTTTATTTTATTACAGAATATAAATGTTTTCATGATGTATGCCAGTCATAAAATACATAGTTATATCATGCATCAAGAATAAGATCTATTTAATATTACTGTTTGATACTGTGTAAAGACTTTTATCCTTGTTGATACTTACGTAACATATAATAACTGCATATAACAGCCATGAGATACGTAAATGATCTCAACATATTTTTTTTTTATCAGTGATTTATTTTTCTGTAATAATCCTAATAAACTAATTGATTATAGCTAATTTAATTAATAATAGATTTAAAATTGCATTGTTATTATATGAGGATTACTTATGAAAATCATTATTTTGAAATAATTTAAATACATGATAAATAACGAGAATAGAAAGAATACAAAAATTTTATTACATCTATAAGAATTGAATAAATAAATTTAGATTCTATGATTCTCATAATTAATAAATAATAATATACATAAAAGATTTAATAATCATCCATCACCGACTTTCTAAATAGATTTTACTATGGATATTTTTAAAGTAGAGAGGAAGACTTGAAAAGAATTAATCTTAGAATTAGAAAGAGTCTGGAATTAGAAAGGCAATGAGTGCGAAAAATTTGAAGACAACTCAATAGAGAGAAAGACGAGAATGGAAACTAGGCAACTTCGTAAGACGTTTTAATCCGTTTACTCGCACACGCACACGCACACACACACACACACACACACACACACACACACACACACACACACACACACACACACACACACACACTAAAACTTAATTTTTCTAATCTATTAATTTCAAACATTTTCAAGTATTAATAATTTTGAAAATCGAAATGAAATTTGTATTTGTTATTATTAAAAAATTATGCTGATTAATTTTTAATTACTTCTTTATAACAATGAATCAACATTATTATTTGATGTACTTTGGTTAGTAATTATCGTGCTGAGAGAATAATTTATCTAGAAAAGGAAGGAGAGGAGATATGCATGTGAGGCATCCCTACCGCCGTCACATTAGTAACGCATATAGTCGAGCCAGACAGTCGAGCCAGACAGTCGGTTACATATCGAAGAAATAATCGCACGCGAGTCGAACTGACTGACTACTAGTCGACGGAGACTTGCGGCGAAGATCGATCGATTGCTTGGTGAAATTAATCTATTTATATCCACTTAACAGACTTACCTTGACGTATTTACAACATGCGGATACATCCATTCATCGCTCTCTTTCTAATCGTGGTGTTCTCTACGTGCAGTTTGACCGTCAATCAGACCATCTTCGTAAACAATACTAAGACGAAATACAAAATACTTGGTGTCTTCGGACATCTTGGCAAGAGTCATTTCATTGTGTTTAAGCCGCTTCTCGAGGAACTAGCTCGAAGAGGTCACGAGCTTACTGTGATCTCATACTTTCCTAGAACTGACAATGACAAAGTTAAAGAGCCGCTGCCTAATTATAAGGATATCAGTTTGGTGGATCCCAAAGTCGGTATCTTCGTGAACGTTGTAGATCTCAAACAAATGACTCACACGTGGTTTCGTCCTCTGAAAGAGCTCTTCACACTAAGGATGATGGCTGATCACGCATGTGATAAAGGTCTGCAGAGCTCAGCCGTCAAAGAGTTTCTTCAGTCCGATGAAAAGTTCGATTTGATATTGACGGAGAATTTTAACACTGATTGTTATTTGGGCTTTGCTCATCGATTTAAGGTGCCTTATATGTCTCTGTCATCACATGAAATCATGCCGTGGACCAACATGGACATGGGTAATTCGGCTGATCTCAGTTATATTCCAACAATATTTCTTGGTCTCATTAGACCTCTAGATTTTTTCGACCGCATGCAAAATGTGTTGTGGACAATAATATCTAAAGCGGTCTACGAATATTGGTTTCGATCTGTTGATCAAGCTTTCGCTAACAAGGTCTTCGGTTCAGATCTTCCTAAGCTGAAAAAAATTGCTCAGCAATCGCAGGCTTTGCTGATAAACACTCACAAGAGTCTTCACGGCAATAGACCTCACTTACCGAATATAGTGGAAATCAGTGGGCTTCACATTCCGTCTAAAATTAATTCGCTACCGAAAGACATAACTGATTTCCTTGACAATGCGCATGAGGGGGTGCTCTATTTCAACTTTGGCTCTATGATCAAGATGTCTTCAGCATCACAGGAAAAATTAGATGCGATATTAAATGTAATTGGTTCGATACCGCGGAAAGTAATCTGGAAGTGGGAAGTTGACGAACTGCCACGTAAGCTGGACAATGTTATGGTGAAGAAGTGGCTGCCTCAATTCGACGTGATGAGTAAGTAAACGATTACTTTATTATTTTTTATTTATTTACTTATTTATTTATTATTCTCTTTTTTCTTGACCTATATCTAAAGCCGTATCATTAGAATCTGAATACTGATTAGAATCTGAATTAGTGTAATCAATGCAAAAACACGAAATTTAACTGTTGACTACTAGAGTGGAGAAAAAAATTTTAAATTATTTTTTTCAATATTTTAACAAGTTCATAGCAATATTTTTTCGTTTAACAGAAGTAAGTACTAAAAGCTTTTATCGCGTCGTTATCTGTTGCTTAATTATTGTTATATGCAACATTTAACATTGAAAGAGTTATTATATTTTGCTTATTTTTATTTTACAATATCCTTGTATTTTTATTTTTATTTTATAATAGCCAATATCCTTGTTTTTTTTTCTAATTTCCGTTACTATCACAATTTGCGATAACAAATATTGAGCAAATATTAAGCAATAGACAAAGACTCAATAAAAGCCTCTAATACCTTAATACTTTTATTAAAGCCTCTAATACCCTAATACTTTTATTAAACAAACAAAAATATATTGTGGACTTATTAAAATCTTGAAAAAACTAATTTAAAATATTTTTTCATTCTAGTAATTAACAATTAAAAATCTTGTGTCTTTGTATTCTGCATCTTCGACAAAATGTGATCTTTTTTTTTCAATATGAAGTCATTTTTGATGTATTTTTGTTTATTGAACACGAATCGTTATTCAAATTTAGCTATTACGTTACAATTCTGAGAAAAATGATGTCAAAAAGGCCACAATGATTTTGAAATGAGGCCAAATGATTATATATATAGTTTAAAATATAGCTAAAAAAATATATATAGCAATTTGAAATAACTTTTATTATAATGTTTCATATTATGTTCTATAAATTTTATATTGCTTTTTAATTCAGTATGATTTGATTTTATGTAACTACAAAAGCACTTACTTTCCACATAAGAATTAAGATAGAATAAAAAGTCTTTTCCATTTATTATATGAGAAAAGAGCTATTTTCAAATTGTTATATATATTTCGAAAACGAAGATTTATTTTAAAACAAAAAAAAAGATGTTAAAAATTGATAACTTTCGCGTGACATTAATGAAATTTATAAAAATTGGCTACCGATGTTATTTATATATATATATATAGTTTCAATATTAAACGTTGCATATAACAATATACCGACCTTGGGATCCACCAAACTGATATCCGTATAATTAGACAGCGGCTCTTTAGCTTATTATTCATTGGTTCTAGGAAAGTATGAGACCACAGCTCACTGTGACTTAAGCTTGTGACTTCTTTGAGCTAGTTCTTCGAGAAGTGGCTTAAACACAATGAAGTAACTCTTGCCAAGATGTCCGTAGTTTATATATATATAAATTAGTTTTTTCAAGATTTTAATAAGTCCACACAGCAATATATTTTTGTTTGTTTAATAAAAGTAGATATTAGAGGCTTTTATTGAGTCTTTGTCTAATGCTTAATATTTGCTTAATATTTGTTATCGCAAATTGTGATAGTAACGGAAATTAGAAAAAAACACAAGGCTATTATAAAATAAAGGTAAAAATACAAGGATATTGTAAAATAAAGATAAGCAAAATATAATAACTCTTTCAATGTTAAATGTTGCATATGACAATAATTAAGCAACAGATAAAGATGCGATAAAAGCTTTTAGTACTTACTTCTATTAAAAATATTGCTAAGAACTTGTTAAAATATTGAAAAAAATAATTTAAAATTTTTTCTTCACTCTAGTCTGACAATACTATAACGTTATATATATAACGTTATAGTATTGTCAGACATTAATGAAATGTATAAAAAAGTCTACCAATACTATAACGACATGAAAGTTTAATCTCAAAATCATTGTTTTTTAATTTTTTTGATATCATTTTTCTCAAAATTGTGTGTGACATACTAATCACATTTAGATAATAGATTCGTATTCAGTAAGTAAAAATACCATGGAATGGCTCAAATGATTATTCACATTTGTATTAAAAATGATATTGGATGGTACAATTATTATATTTTGTTTGTAATGGAGTAGTATGACAATTTATGTGATATGTCTTAATAGCCTAGCATGCATGATATGGCAACTATATACAAATGCTATACAACGACAGTTAGATCAAGGTTTCCAAAGAAGATTATGGAATAGGTAAAGGGTCAAACATTAGCAAAATTAGCTTATAATGAAGAATTCTTTGATATATATAATGAAATATTACTATAAAAATTATATTATTTATAATTTTAATTAACTTTGTGTTACTTATAATATAATTAATTAAATTAATTATTTATTAATTAATTTATATTTTTATTTTTAAAGTTATTATTTATTTGTTTGCACATTACACAAAAACATGGATTTTTGAGACGCAATACCTGAACTTTGCGATTAATATTTATAAAAAAACAAAATGTAAAGTTGAATCTTGCACAGAATAGAAATTTAACTTAAAACTGGACACATTCTATTAATATTTATACACATAAGTAGGTACATAAAATAAGAAGTATAAATAAGATATTTAATCATTATAAATATATATTTATTATCTTTTTAATCTGTTCAAAATATAATGTTCAAAATATAGTTTGTAGATATAAGAAATGATGAGCTATATCTTTAAAAAGGTTTAGTATTGTATTACTTAATTGGTTTTAATAAGTTACATGCATGACATAAGCTCGTCATCATCATACCGTTGCATATTATTAATCGTATATGATTAATATGAAACAGAAAAAGTGATTACAGCAGATACTCTCATCAAACGAGACTTCTTAATACCTTCATTGTCTGCTTAATCTACACTTCATTCGCATAAACTTTCACTATCTCTTAACTAATTATTCTAAAATAATATATTATGCATGTGATGTCTTCTTTACGTTAGACTTGCAATAATGCCATGCAAGTTACGTGATCATTTTAAAATAGTATTATGTTTTTTAAAATACAAAATAAGTTAAGTTTATTTAAAATAATTTAAATTGTGTTTTATATTATTGAAATATGTAATTTTCTTATTTTTCTTATTTTATTTTGTTAAATAGATTAGTCAAGTTTCAGTTAGATAGAGTATTTTTTGCAGACTTTATACATTTAATTATTTAAATATAAATAATTTAAATAATTAATAATTTAAATAATGTTTATTAAGAATTCTAAATCAGGGTCAGTAAACGCATGACTTTAATCTATTTTGAATCATGTGTGAGTCAATACATATCTGACATCTGACAATAAATATCTCAAGTTATATTTACACTTACGAATGAAGCCACATAACGACGTTTGTATATATTTATCTCATATTTGTAGATTATTTCTTTTTTTTGATTGCATTGAATATTACCATTTATTCATATTCAATGTTTGCTATATATAATAATATTTATGTCATTCTTTATATAATATTAAAAAATAAAATTTAAAAAAATTAGATTATATATTAGATATGTAATAATTAAAAATATAAATGTGTAGTAAATGTAAAGATAAATTATATTATTATTATGATTTTATAGTCTCATTTTATAGTCTTATTTAATTTGATATTTTATATTGTAAATTTATTCTTTATTTTCTCAAACAACACATGAAGGCATTTTCTGAGAAAATTTGAAGAATAGCATAAAAGTAAATTTTGTATATTTTATATATATGGTATGTATATATTAATGTTGAGATATATATGTTATATATAAAAACTAAAATATTCGTATATTTTAATGTTGAGATATATATGTTATATATAAAAATAAAAATATTCGTATATTTTTTACTTGAAGAATATTATAATATTATAATATATTATAATATATTTACATTCAATGCATTTAGTATAACTAAGTGCATGCGTGCGTACGTGCATGTGTGTGTGTGTGTGTGTGTGTGTGTGTGTGTG